AAGTAGACAAAATAATAATAATCACTGATAATTCTAGGATAATAACTTTTACAACACTGTAAAAGATTGAAAAATTTAATAAATTATCTCAGTTGATTTTCAGAAACAATTATATTTGAGTACATGTATTGTCTCTCTGACTTGGAAAAATATATTGTAAATGTATTAGTGAACACAGAATAGTTTAGAGATGATCAAGGCAACTTTTGGGATAAAATCATCATCATAATGATCAGTAAATTTATTTTTGCTGAGAGAGAGAAATCAGAGCTATCAGGTATTGATAGATTATAAGATTTAATATCTATGAAATTATCAAGTCTATAATGGAAGGTAAAGCAATTTACCTGGATGTCTGAAGTATTTCAAGATTTGCAATAGTTATTTTTCATAACTATTCAAAATAGTTTTTTGACATTTTTAATGCAGGTAAACTTCACCTTGCGTCTGTAATTGGTTCCAGGAGAGGCGACTAAGTCGAATTTACTTGTCATTAGGCTAAACCACAAATAACCATTCCCAGTTCTGTATTTTATTTATAAATGCATTTTTAATAAAATAGATTCTTATTAACCATATATTAAGCTTACAAACAAAGAAATTTTAGTTTTTAATATAGTACAGAAAAAAGTAATCTAAATTTACGAATACATGTACGGTACATAAACACTTGTAAATATACATGTTTACAATTTGGTGATGTTTACAGTATATTGCGGACTCTTTATTTGTGAATGCTATTTCTCTTAGACATTATAAAATAAGATGATTTTGTAAGGCTAAATAACAAATAGTTGTTAAAATTATTTTGCAATAGTAGAAAATAAACTAATTTATGTTAAATTTACCAATAACAAGTGGCAACGACGCCAAACAGTAGATATTGGAAATACCGTGTAAAATGCCAATATTGAGCTCTTAAATTAATTAATTTTAACGGATTTTAAATTAAAGACCACTAAATAAGACGACAACACAGAGTCAGATGTTTTCATATTTCATTCTCTAAGATTTATGACGATTATATTAACATTTACTGTAAATATATGCATTTTAATATGATTTTATGTGCTTTAACACTTTTCTGGTGATATTACGACTTCAATATTTGTGGTGGACAGACGTAAAGTTGAATAAAATGGCTTAAATCTGACTTTTATTTTTCCATATATTTTTTTTTGACAAACGACATAACTTGAGGTATACATGCATAATGTATTGTAATAGTTAATGAATCATTTTATGTTACAGAAAATCTTTCATAAAGTACATTGGTCAAAATAATTAGGAGAGCAAGATATGTTACATATGTAGAAATAAATTTCAATAATTTGAAACAATAAATATAATGTCTATTAATATATTCTATCCAAATAAATATAGTTAATATCAAAGTTATAAATCTTTACATAAAATGCTTAAATATACCATGCAATAACCAGTTTACTATTCTTCTTAATACCTTGTCTAGGACTAAGTTTTGATGATAGAAAGTCATTTACAATAAATGGTTCTGAATATTAGATGTTATTGTATAAGGTACAGTAAGTGTGAAAAATAAGCATTTGTCATTTTCATTTATTGTACTTGTTGCCAAAGTCACACTCACCTAATTGTTTTGACATCATAATTTTTGGCAGAAATCAGTAGGAATTTCACAGTTCATAAAGTTTTGCAGTTCTTAAGGCCAATTAATTTTGTATTTATAAAACGAATTGTGCATAATTCCTTTTTTTGTAAATGTCTTGCACATTCAAATATATTATTTCCTTTGATGTGAGATTTTACAGTATACAATAATATCAAATTTTATGATTATTTGGATAGAAAATAAGCACATTTCTTTGTTAGTCTTTTTTGATATGGAAAAAAAACTTAACTGTGATTTTTCTACTCTCTTCTTCAGCTATTACAAACATAATATATTTTTATTAGTGATGTAACGAATATTCGGTTACTATTCGGTATTTGGCCTATTTTTCGCTATTCGGCTGAATACCAAATAACAAAAACACAGTAAATTAATCATTTTGGTATTTAGATTTAATGTTATCAGGTTAGTGTTGTTTGTTTTTATTTATTTATAACTTAACATGCACAAAATAAAAAAGAAAATAATATTAGTCACATGTATTCACAATTTATAATTACAAAGATCAGCAGACATACACACCTATTCGTTCGAATATCGTCTCACATCTGAGGGACTGACCCTGCCTATCCTTTTTAAGCGTTCGTTTTTGCTCTTCCCTTTCTCTTTCCTCTATCACTCTAGTCCAAGTATGGCTATGCATGCATCATAATACGTGCTCACAATACTTTCAATTCGTCACTCTTCCGTCGTAATTTCCCATTTTACAATTACGTGACTCATAAGCCTGGTGATAATGGAGAAAAGAGAGAGACAGGACGTTGGTATAAGTCAGGTATGATTTCACAGATTCCAGACAGCTTGGTAGTCTGAACGGCTCCAGGCTTTTGCCCGTGCACGCTAAGTGATTTTCATTACAAGCATTAAGCTTTCTGAGATCTATGACAATTATTTGGCATTGATGGCCGCGAATTTCGTGCCAATAAGCTGTCTCGACTTGTTTGATTATGTTATCAACTCAATTTCATATTTATTTTCACATTTTCACTTCGCGGTCCTTCTCTGTTTTTTTTCCGTTAATTACACGTGTAGGTGTCATTGTTGTTCACATTTGATATCATCATTTATCACATACTGCCATGATGCTCGTGTCTGTCCGCTACAACTGTCAAGAATTAACGTGATTGGCGAAGCGTAGTAACTGCGGGCCAATAGAGAGCAGGGTCCTTGCCATAATGCGGTTTGCGCGCCAATTTTCGTACGTGCGTTAATCAAGTCGAATAGTTTGGCCGAATAGGCTATTCATTACAACACTAATTTTTATAAGTTGTTATAATTTATTTTGTGTAATTTATATGAAAAGTGCAAACTTCAAGAGTCTGCACAACTATGACATAAAACTTATTTGACCAATACTGGTGCTTATGGGCCTTCATGTGTTGACAATATTTGAGTATAGTTATCATTAAGTATTTTTGACTAACCAATCAAATGTATCAAATTGATCAAAACAAACGTAACAAAAAACACCAATATAAATTACACTTTATTTATAACCTTATTAACTGTAATTTGAAATGTTAAAAAGTAATATTTATCAACATTATTAAAAGAATTTCAAATAGGAAATGGTTTAATGAAAGAGAAAAATATACTATTAATTTTGGACACTACAATATAATCATCATCATAATTAAAATCATCAAATGTACTTTTTGGAAAGCATCATGTATTGATTGAATTCTATATGTTTTGTTTTTTCTAATTCCTTCTACTCTCTGTGCACTAAGAGGCCCTGTTTTTACCAAGCCCATTAACAGTTTGCTAGGCTAATGGGGTAGCCAGGATGGATAGGGCATGACATAGACAGACAAAAATTCCTGGAGTTTTTTGATCCATCTGGATTTAATCTAGATCCTCAGAGCAGTAGGTTGCACCTTAGCACACTGGTTCTCAACCTTTCTGTGGCCGTAGAACACCATTCATATACTTTTTATTACACAGAGCATTAGCATCAATACATTCAAAAATTGATAAGCAATTCCATGTTTATTATCCTCAGGAAACAATGAAGCAATAAACTAATAAACTTTAATATATTGAATAAAATAGAAACATGGAATTGTCTATGAATATGGCAATGGGAATAAAGCTAAAAATATAATATAAAAACTTTAAAATCTTTTTTCATGGAACACTTGAGGTAGGTTTGCGGAGCATGGTTAAGAACCACTGCCTTAGCAGCTTGGCCGTGTGGCAATTGAATTCTACCTGTTGAAAATTGAATATTAAATGGAACATTTTTATAAAAAGAAACATCTAGTTTGATTATAAATAAAACATTTTTATTCTGAAATATTTGCATTCAAAATTTAACATTTAAAAGATAAAATTTAGTGTACTTTTTAGTTTTAAGATTTACAAGCTAACAAACAAAACTTACTACTACACCTTATCTTGCAGCCGAAGTTTATTACTTCAAACGTTTTCGGTCATGTTAAATGACCTTTCTCAAGAAAAAGAAATCAAATAAAAGATAAAAAACTGTAAAAATCGAACGCTTAGTACAAATGAACAAGCTTTTCAAATGTTTTTGAGCTAGCCAATAATCGTTGCAATTAATGACGTCAGTTTTAACATTGCAACGGAAGTATAAACAATCCTAAAGATTATATAAATATCTAAAAATCATAATTACATAGAGTTACCACCTCAGATCAATGTGCATAAATACATAGCTTAGAATATAAAGATGCATAGTATCATAGTAATCTTCAATTATTAAGGCTTTATATTAAGCTTGAGGACCATGCTGCTGATATTTTTGCCAATTTCGAGCTTCGGCTGCAAGATAAGATGTAGTAGTAAGTTTTGTTTGTTATTAATAGTATGCAGTCTAGAACGAATTGATTTACAAGCTTAAAAGATGATTAATAGAACAACATTATGCAGAAATTATTTTAAATGTATTTCAATATTAATAGAATTTTATGTTCTTATGATTTAATTTCACTAAAAAATGAACTGTTCGTTTTTCGTTTACAAAAAAATTGTTAACATTTAATTTTATTCCTAATAGAAAATAAAATAGTTTTTCAGATTTACTTTTTAATGTATATCTTTGTATTAAAAAAATTGAGAGAAAAACTTCAAATATAAATATTATTTTATTACATTGAATAAAATTTCTAATTTTCTCTTAACATTCATTCAAAAATATCAGGAAAACAAGCAAATCAAAACATATGTTTTACTATTTTTTATCTAATTATTTACAAAAAGTAAATTTACAATTTTACATTATTATTTATATTTACAATTTAAAAATTCTTATATTTGGAAATTTATACACATAGAATTTTATTAATATTCTAAATATTAATAAAAATATTCTGAAGTTAATCTGTTTTTATGATATTAAAAATTTTAAATATTGTATATTATTACTGATACAAAAAGAAGAGGAAATCATCCAAATTCAAAAAATAAATTATTGATTCTGAATTATGTATAACATACCTAATAGATCAAAATTTTTAAGGCAATTGTTGTCTAGATATAGAAATAAATTTCAATAATTTGAAACAATAAATATAATGTGTATTAATATATTCTATCCAAATAAATATAGTTATATCAAATCAAAGTTATAAATCTTTACATAAAAATGCTTAAATATACCATGCAATGACCAGTTTACTTTTCTTTTTAATACCTTGTCTAAGACTGTAAGTTTTGATGATAAAAACAATTATAAAAAGAAATATATATGTTTAATTGAATGGGGGATAATTAGGAACAAGGACTGCAGAAGTAAATATATTTGATACAAAGGTTGATATTATGTTCATGAAAGAAATGTGTGTAAGACAGTTTTTGTATATTGTTGTTAGTAAAAAATCTATTTATTTATAATGATTACTTAATAAAAAATAATAAATTAAAATTAAATTATAAACTACAAATCTGGCATTTGAAAAACTAAAAACAGAAGTATTTCATACTTTAGAATTTCATGCATAATACTAAAAGACTGCATGAAATACTAAAATTTAACAGGATTCTGGCTATCATGTTATATGATATCTGATGCAAAAGCATCTTAAACAAACAGTAATGCAATAAAATGCATGGATATTGTATATCATGACTGCCTAGTTATTTAATCTTAAAGAAACTATGTATTTACAAATTTATTAATTAATGTCTATAAATGTTACGAAACATTGGAAAGTACTGTTGGAGGCTGATTCTTAATTGACTGTTTTCCATACAGATGTTCTGCTCTTTGCAGGAAGGCATTAACCATTTGACGTACCACTTCATCAAAGAATACAGTTGATAACTGTGAATGCAGCAATGATCTGAATTCAAATGATACCTGGAAAATAAAAATTACATTTTATTATTATTTAAAATATATAATATAATATAAAATATATCTATTGTGCAAATGGAATTATGTACAGATCCCAACTTTCCTTTACAGAAGCTGACTGATATATTTATCTATACTATTATAATAAAGAGATAATGTTTGTAAGTATGTATGTAAGTTTGGATGTAGCAGGTAATCTCTGAAACTACTCATCCAATTTCAAAAATTCTTTCACCAATATTTAGAATGGAACTTCAGGGTGGACATAGGCTGTATATTATTCCGTTAAACATTCGTATAAATTAAATGATATCATCTATGGTTAAGGCTTTTATGTCCAACAGATGGCACTCGAGTACGACGCCCTAAATTTGCCTTTCTGTTAGGCATTATGCTTTTCTATGAAAATGAACTAAAGCAGATCATCATCTATCTGTTTATATAAATAAAAATGTAATGTTCATTTGTTCCTACCGATTTCTTTGAAATTTTGACACAACGCTGCATTCGAATACGCACGTGTTTTTATATAATATACATGTCGAAATTCAACCCCACTGAAGGGAGATGGTTAGGATTAAAACTTACGGTAACGAACTCTGCTTCTATTTATACTATTTTAGATGTGGGTTTTTGCATTTTAATAGGGTACATCAACAGAATGTACACTAAGAAGAAACTTTTCGATATCCCCCCCACGGGGGGAGAGAGACAGGATTAAGGCTTACTGTGAAGAACTTGGCTTCCATTATACTATTTTAGATGTGGGTTTTTGTGTTTTTGATTGTGTTTTAATAGAGTACGTCAAGAGAATGTATACTAAGAAGAAATTATTCGAAAAATTTCCCCCCCACGGGGGAAGTGTTATAAATTTATAATAGATACATTTTGAGCCACAACAACACATGGCAGGGTCTGCTAGTCTTAATATAAAATGATGCCAAAATTATTTAGTAATACAATAATGAGTAATAATATGCAACAGTTCTCTAATAATAAAATACAGAATAGATGTATGAATGCATTTAATGCATTTTTAACATAAGAAAATGTGAGAATTTTTGAAATATAATGTTTCTGCAAATGTATCAAGTTACTGATTAAGGAATACATAGTGTATCCTATGACTTTAAAATAATTTTTAATAGTTAAAAATTTTTGTTAACTTCAGAATTGTTAAAAAGTTCTGGAAAATAAAATATATAATAAAACACTGGTTTATTCAGAAAACTAAATACAAATAAAAAAAAATTTCTCGAAGATTTTAAATCCTATAAATTATTTTCAGAAAGAAATAACAAAAATTTTATAAACTAAAATTATGTTTATCTGTGCAATCCTATAATTGGAGTTTAAATACATTCTAAAATGCATTTAAACATCTACTACAAGATCATTATTATGTTAATAGAATGGAACAGATCAAGTAAATGATTAAAATACATATATCTTTGGTTATGCATGTGATTTCTAGCATATGACATTAAAAATTTAATGCTTTTACTATGAAAAATTCTCTTAAAAAAATTCTTAAAAATGGATGTAGATAGAACCAAACAGTTTTTTTGTATTAGAATCCTATTTAATTCTATTCTATTAATGTAGAGTTCAGAAATTTGAAAATTGAATTAGTTAATTTTCTGACTTTAAAATTCTTAGAAAATAATGAAAGATAAGAAAACCATACATTAATAGAAGAATTAAACAGGATTCTAACACAAAAAAACTATTTGGTTCTATTTAATTCCAATTTAAGAATTTTTGGAAAAGGATTTTCCCATAGAAAAAGCACTAAATTTTTAAATGCTATTTTCTGGAGATCATATGCATAACCAGAGGTTACAATCAGCTTTAATCTTGAACAAAAAACAACAAATCATAAAAACTAAAAAGAATATTGTTTATTCTTCAAAAGATCCATTATGTTTAAAGTAATGTACAGTCATCCATTATGAATACATCTGTGTATCTCATGTGAAGGTAAGTTTTTATCTCATAACTAGCAGGTGAGCCCAGCATTGCTCGGGCAAAAGTAACAATAACTAAGATTAAGATTATTACGTTACAGTCAACATTACTCATTTTCACAGAGTAAGAGTGAAATGAAACGTAAGACAGGAAGAAGACTTAACATTTCCATTGTTGATGGAAGTGTTAAGCCTTAATCCTGTCTTTCTCCCCCTGGGGGAATTTCAAAAAATCCCTTCTTAGTGTGCGTTCTCGTGACGTACCCTAACTGTGTACCAAATTTCAACTTTCAACTCCTAACCGTTTGGGCTCGTATCCATAATGTATATAGAAGCCTTAATCCTGTCTCTTCCCCGGGGGGGATTTCGAAAAATCCCTTCTTAGTGTGTGTTCTCGTGACATAACCTAACTGTGTACCAAATTTCAACTTTCAACTCCTAATCGTTTGGTCTGTGCGCTTATTAGTATTATTATTATCATTATTATTATGTGAACCCGTCTCGATTATATTATAGATCTAGCAATTCAATTCACATGTTCTAGAACATTTAAACTGAAACTAAAACATTCCTATAAGTTTGAACTTTTTCAAAAACAGGATAATGCTTAATATTTCTTACAAAATAAGGCTATGTTTATAGTGATATGGACTAGCTCAAGCAAAGCTTAAAGCTTCAAAAAGGAGCAGTTAAGAACAAACAAGTTTGATTTCTTCACTCTATTGCTTGCTGTACAGCTTTTGCCAGTGCTTTGCTGTGTCACAATAAACAGTCTAACTCATAAATTTTTGTTATTGTAAGTACACCTTTGGAAAAAAAGCAATGCTATGTTTTCAAAATTCTAAATATAATGACAAATTTTTAATAAATGAAGTTTTCTTTTAACTGTTATGAACTGAAAATGTTAATGAAAATTAAATGTTTTTGCTTTCATTCTCAGTAAATGTGATGATTGTGACAAACTTGTATTTTAGACATAGTAAAATATCACAATGAAATATGAGACAATATTATTCTTGTGGAAGAAAGTGTAAATATTAGTAAGCTTTTGGGTATCATAGCAATTTTAAATATATATGTATTTTTTTCAAAAATATGTTAAAAAATTTATATTAAATGCATAGAACATCTAATTTCTCATTTTAGTTTTGAAAATGTTAATGAAAATTAAATGTTTTTGCTTTCATTCTCAGTAAATGTGGTGATTGTGACTAAATGATTCAGTGATATGAGAGAAATGAAGTATTTTGTAAAAGTATTTTTGTTTAATTGATTTTTTAAGTTTCAAAAAGGGTATATAAACAAATTCTAATTGCCAAATAACAGAAGAATAAAACTTCTGCATTTCAGACTACACACACAAATGCAAAATAAATGGTGATTCCTCTTGGACAGACTTGTCTTTGATTTATCTAACAATAATCCAGCCATTGGACGGAAAAATTCAACAAAAAGAATAAAACTCTCGTGAAATGAGAGTTTTATTCTTCTGTTATTTGGAAAAAAATTAATCATTTTAATAATTAAGAATTTGTTTATAAACAATTTTTAATATTTTTTCATAAAGAACTATAAAATAACAGCAAGTAAATAGTAGTAGTTATTTTTAAGGAAGTTATTAATTTATTATTATTCCATGAATGCAGATAAAATTTTTAATATACACTGGTGTGCAAAACTTAAAGCAACAATGTAATTTTTAAGCAGACAGCCATGAAATTGTAGAAAAGGGCTTGTTGTGATCAGTACAATAACCACCCAACTCAGTAGAAAGGTGATTCGTATTCAGGAAGAAGACATCACAGGTAGGTGATGTGAGGGCTTGTAGAACATGTGCAGTAAGCAAATGCAGTGCAAGATTACAATAAGAAGGAGGCTTTGATTCCATACTGTATGTGTTCTATTCATTTTTGCACTAGTATGCTTTCTTCATCCTTTAATTATAAAATACTGTCTGTATTCTGAATTTCATGCCTCCCAGATGATTTCTTGCAGAGTTAAGGCAAAAAACAATTGTTGCTTAAGTTTTGCACACCAGTGTACTTTTTAAATAAGTATAACAAATTATAGTAGATCCCCTTTATCTATAGTTTCACTTATCCATAACCAACCATAATCAAATGATATTAAAAGGAAAATTCTAATAATAAATAATCCACAAGTTTTAAATTGTGCACAATAATAAAATAAATAACTTTCTTAAAAATAACTATTACTACTTACTTGCTGTAATTGTATAGTTCTTCATGAAAAAAAAATTTTAAATTATTTACCGTATCAACTAAATAAAAGGTGGAGAATAAGCCATGTGATTGTTTTAAAGACATGATCTAGTGTTCAACACTTCTAAAAAAGAATATAATAGATTTGAAGATTTATATATACAGTATTTAATTTAAATATCATATGTTTAATCTAATTATTTTCTCTAATTATAAAAATTAATGAAAGAATGAGTAATATTTTAAAAGATTTTACATTAAAATATTACTATTTAGTATAAAAAAACATACAAGAATATAAGAATGCTTTTTATTTGTTCAATTATTATTATTATTATTATTATTATAAATTTAACATTAAATCCACGCAAGAAAAACAATTAGAAAATACAAAAATTACCTGAAAATCTAAAGTACATGTCTTTGAATTATTTGGTATGCCTGGACTGAAATGCCAAATTGTTTCTAGATGGTTAAAAAGCCGTCCATCTGTACAGATTGCCTGTCAAAATTTACAATGCCACTGTAGTTTCAAAACTTAGCCATATCTAACTTTTATAATTTTGTTTCTAATAATACAATTAATTAATGGGATAAAAACAATGTAAAATTTGATCAAAACAAACTTGTATGTGAAAAACACACATTTTAAAGCAAGTGTATAATGACATGTTTTTCAGTTGTCTAATTGGATCTCAATAAAAAATTTTGTGTATTTTTTTATGATAACAAAGATCAATTAATTAAACATATCAGAAGCATATTTCATTGTAAGATGGTATTTAAATAGAGAACTGTTTTACTATGTGTATTGATAATGGATACATTCCAGTATGCATCAGTCTCAGCCACAACTGATGCATCAGTGAACAGTTTAACAAGCTTTTACTGTAACATATGACAACCCAATAAGATGGTAGAAGCAAACAGCACTATATTGGCATTTGCTGATGTATTTTGTCATAATAACTTTGGATTAATTCAGATGAATAGTAAAATAATGATGATGATAAAATATTTTCATTACCTGCTACTGTTGCTATGATAAAGCCTAAAATAACTTCTGTATAAAAAAAAATGACAACATTTCAGACTACAAGCAGTCTTTTACTTACTACTAGCCTTATCCTATATGCTTCAATTAAATATATTAAAAAATATTTAAATCTTTGTCAAATAATCTTATACAGGTAGGCCTCCTACAACGCGGTAGATACGTTCCTTGAAAATACCGCGTTGTGGGAAATCGCGTTATAGGAGACACCAACTCAATACAAAAACTGGGATTCGGTTCTAAAACGAGAAAAACTTGGCGTTTGAATGGCGTTTTTTTAATTTTTGAAACCAGCCATTGGTAGCCACGAATTTAACACTGGTTTCATCAGCTGACCAGTGGCGTAGCGTAGTGGGGGCGGTAAAATTTCACAATAAATAATAATAATTTCTTGTAAAAATTTGAACCATTTCATTTCATATTTTTGTCGCGCCTACGATTTGGACCGATTGAAATGAGCACTTAATTGTTCATTACTTATTCTGTGACGAAACTGAATTTTTGTCTTTTAAATTGAGATACCTAATAAGGGGGCATCGAAATTTTCCTCCGCCCTGGGCAGCTGGCACCCACGCTATGCCACTGCAGCTGACGACTGTCCCATATGTTTTAAATAATCAAATATTTTTAAGGCGTTGTGTTTAAGTGCAGTTTTATTTAAAGGCAACTGTTTCTTGTTCATATCTTCTACCCATAATATTAGCGCTTGTTCCATTTTTTACATTATAGGTGCTCTCGGACTAGCAACATTTTTTGCAAGAATAGATGATCCGGATGCAACCAAATTTCTAATCTTTTCTCCTGATTGCTTAATCGACCGAATAGTCGACTCATTTAAATTAAAATGCCTACTAATATCAGCTATCCGCTCTTGATTTTTAATTCGATCCAAAATTTCTATCTTTGAAGAGTTATAAATTTCCTTTTTAACGACAGTCCTTTCTTTTCATTCGGCATTGTTATGGCTAAAATTTTTTCAATCAGTTTTGTGGACAGTAAAAATCACAAAAAATAACTTTTCTTCACTATTTTGTTAAAAATATACACCCAATAGAAGTTTATACTATATTTTGGACCATTTTTGCTGTCCCCACTTATTGAAACTGTATAAATGATGGAAAATTTAGTGATATATTTGAGTGTTTACGGTAACTGATGCACATCTGGGCTAGAAACCGGTCTTCCCCAGAAACTTTCAAGGGAATAAATAACACACCAACAGCAACAAACAGCTGTTTTCAAGGACATTTAGTTCTGTATGCCGAATTGCGGTTCGTATCACGTGATCCGTTGCGATTTTTCTGTTATGTGAAAGATAATTCGTTTCTAAATACCGTAAACCGCGTTGTAAAACATTACCGCATTTTCCCAACTGCGTTGGAGCGAAAACACGTTGTAAGAGGCCTACCTGTATTTAATTGGCTAATGTTACCTATGGTTCCAAGATGGCGGTGCTTTGGTTAGGTTAGATTAACTATATTTTTACTAGATATTTCCTGTTTTTTTATTTTGTTCAAGAACTACTGTGAATCAATAACTAGTGACGTTTGTCACAAGGCGGCCTGCCGGCAGCTCCCCTCCGGGAGGAGTCCGTCTGGACCACAAACAGTCGGAAGCATGGCCATCTTAGAACCATAGGTAACATTAACCATTTAATTATAATGTATGGGATTAAATAATATTACATGCTAACCGTCTTATTCAATTTTTATGATTTTTTTACAAAGTTGCTAAATATAACTATGGAGGCAACCATATTGCTTCATTGGAGTTCACCTTATCCACAACCCAATGAGTGCAATGCATATCGGTGAATATCGGCACACATTTTTGTACATCACAGTTAACCAATGTACTGTTTGTTGCATACTGGAATGTACCCAATTTAAAATTATGAAAATTAGAGGTCACAATATAGATACGAGATGTCATGCAGGTAGCAAAGTTACTTTATCAAAATNATAGAAAGTCATTTACAATAAATGGTTCTGAATATTAGATGTTATTGTATAAGGTACAGTAAGTGTGAAAAATAAGCATTTGTCATTTTCATTTATTGTACTTGTTGCCAAAGTCACACTCACCTAATTGTTTTGACATCATAATTTTTGGCAGAAATCAGTAGGAATTTCACAGTTCATAAAGTTTTGCAGTTCTTAAGGCCAATTAATTTTGTATTTATAAAACGAATTGTGCATAATTCCTTTTTTTGTAAATGTCTTGCACATTCAAATATATTATTTCCTTTGATGTGAGATTTTACAGTATACAATAATATCAAATTTTATGATTATTTGGATAGAAAATAAGCACATTTCTTTGTTAGTCTTTTTTGATATGGAAAAAAAACTTAACTGTGATTTTTCTACTCTCTTCTTCAGCTATTACAAACATAATATATTTTTATTAGTGATGTAACGAATATTCGGTTACTATTCGGTATTTGGCCTATTTTTCGCTATTCGGCTGAATACCAAATAACAAAAACACAGTAAATTAATCATTTTGGTATTTAGATTTAATGTTATCAGGTTAGTGTTGTTTGTTTTTATTTATTTATAACTTAACATGCACAAAATAAAAAAGAAAATAATATTAGTCACATGTATTCACAATTTATAATTACAAAGATCAGCAGACATACACACCTATTCGTTCGAATATCGTCTCACATCTGAGGGACTGACCCTGCCTATCCTTTTTAAGCGTTCGTTTTTGCTCTTCCCTTTCTCTTTCCTCTATCACTCTAGTCCAAGTATGGCTATGCATGCATCATAATACGTGCTCACAATACTTTCAATTCGTCACTCTTCCGTCGTAATTTCCCATTTTACAATTACGTGACTCATAAGCCTGGTGATAATGGAGAAAAGAGAGAGACAGGACGTTGGTATAAGTCAGGTATGATTTCACAGATTCCAGACAGCTTGGTAGTCTGAACGGCTCCAGGCTTTTGCCCGTGCACGCTAAGTGATTTTCATTACAAGCATTAAGCTTTCTGAGATCTATGACAATTATTTGGCATTGATGGCCGCGAATTTCGTGCCAATAAGCTGTCTCGACTTGTTTGATTATGTTATCAACTCAATTTCATATTTATTTTCACATTTTCACTTCGCGGTCCTTCTCTGTTTTTTTTCCGTTAATTACACGTGTAGGTGTCATTGTTGTTCACATTTGATATCATCATTTATCACATACTGCCATGATGCTCGTGTCTGTCCGCTACAACTGTCAAGAATTAACGTGATTGGCGAAGCGTAGTAACTGCGGGCCAATAGAGAGCAGGGTCCTTGCCATAATGCGGTTTGCGCGCCAATTTTCGTACGTGCGTTAATCAAGTCGAATAGTTTGGCCGAATAGGCTATTCATTACAACACTAATTTTTATAAGTTGTTATAATTTATTTTGTGTAATTTATATGAAAAGTGCAAACTTCAAGAGTCTGCACAACTATGACATAAAACTTATTTGACCAATACTGGTGCTTATGGGCCTTCATGTGTTGACAATATTTGAGTATAGTTATCATTAAGTATTTTTGACTAACCAATCAAATGTATCAAATTGATCAAAACAAACGTAACAAAAAACACCAATATAAATTACACTTTATTTATAACCTTATTAACTGTAATTTGAAATGTTAAAAAGTAATATTTATCAACATTATTAAAAGAATTTCAAATAGGAAATGGTTTAATGAAAGAGAAAAATATACTATTAATTTTGGACACTACAATATAATCATCATCATAATTAAAATCATCAAATGTACTTTTTGGAAAGCATCATGTACTGATTGAATTCTATATGTTTTGTTTTTTCTAATTCCTTCTACTCTCTGTGCACTAAGAGGCCCTGTTTTTACCAAGCCCATTAACAGTTTGCTAGGCTAATGGGGTAGCCAGGATGGATAGGGCATGACATAGACAGACAAAAATTCCTGGAGTTTTTTGATCCATCTGGATTTAATCTAGATCCTCAGAGCAGTAGGTTGCACCTTAGCACACTGGTTCTCAACCTTTCTGTGGCCGTAGAACACCATTCATATACTTTTTATTACATAGAGCATTAGCATCAATACATTCAAAAATTGATAAGCAATTCCATGTTTATTATCCTCAGGAAACAATGAAGCAATAAACTAATAAACTTTAATATATTGAATAAAATAGAAACATGGAATTGTCTATGAATATGGCAATGGGAATAAAGCTAAAAATATAATATAAAAACTTTAAAATCTTTTTTCATGGAACACTCGAGGTAGGTTTGCGGAGCATGGTTAAGAACCACTGCCTTAGCAGCTTGGCCGTGTGGCAATTGAATTCTACCTGTTGAAAATTGAATATTAAATGGAACATTTTTATAAAAAGAAACATCTAGTTTGATTATAAATAAAACATTTTTATTCTGAAATATTTGCATTCAAAATTTAACATTTA